TAAGAATAAAATACTATCTTTGGAGAATGATATAATATTTTACAATGGTTTCAATGCCAAAATAGGGTTTAAAAAATATGATTTCTATAGTCAAATATAATTTAAAGAATAACATAACATCTTAGAAGATAAATATGATATTTTATAGAAAGTGTTCAAAATGAGAAATTGGTTTTAAAAATTCATCAATTCCTATAATTAAATGCAATAAGGAGAATAATATATCATCTTGAAAGACAAATGTAATATTCTAAAAGGTATCTTATAAAATTCACAAGTTATAATATCAAATATAATAAAGAGAATGCCATATTATTTGGGGAGACAATACTAACATTATACAAGGATATTTGAAAATAAAAATGATTTTAAAAAGAAAATATGCACTTAAGGATTTTCCCCCTATTTTATTGGAATAAAATAGAGTTTATTTTAATCTAGAATTCTTAATTCCTTATAAGAGCAAATTCCTAGGTGTTATTTCTGTATTGGGGTTCGGTCGGTTGTCTTCTGTTCTGTTTTGTTGTTTTCGGTTGGTGTGGTTCTGTTTATTGTGGTCTGGTTGGGGAGTTTGTGGTTGTTTTGGTCTTTTTGGTCGGGGTTCCAGTGTTTTACTTGGTGCATTGTTTATAGCTTGTTGTTTTTTATTGTGTTTTTTCCTATCTTGGTTCTTCAGGACTCTATCATGGTTTGGTTGTGTGTATTTGTTCTTTTTCTCTGGCTGGGTGGTTCCAGATTACTGGGTTGTTCCTGCTGTGTTGCTGAGTGGGGTTTGTGTTTGGAGGGGTCTTGGATGGAGACGGATTGTGGTGGTTTCTTGGTGCAGTTTTGGGGTTTTTATGGCCCGAGCTGGAGGTTGTTTTCTTTTGCTGTTTTTTTTCTTTACTAACATTTTGTGTTTCTTTTACAGAGATATCAATCTTTCTCTTTTTAAGGAGGATTCTCTTTTTTCTGGTATGAGCCTTTTCTTGTTAATTTTCCTTCTAGGTTGCCTTTGCTTCTCTTTTGCAGATGGTTTTCAGTGTTGCTGTGGTTTTTGGTTCTGGCCTGGAGCTTATGTTGAATGTTGTTTTGATCTGGCTCCTCTCTTTTTGGGTGCTCATTCTTGAGCACCGTAGAATGTCCTTAGATTTCATTGTATTTTTGATTAGTAGGGACCTTGAGCTTATAGGTTTTTTTAATTTTTGGATTGTAACTCTTTTGAGCATTAGTCAAGCTCGAGGTCCCTTTAAGGACCTTGTAACTTCTCTATTATATCAACGCGTAGACCCTTCCGTGGGTTTCCCCTAAAAAAAAAAAAAATTGCATCTTAAGAGGGGAACTCTTAAGAAGACTCTAGATTAAAGCAATTATTTCATACCCTTTGATTACAATATAGAAGACAAAGAAAGAAATAAAATTTTTTCAAGGAGAAAGCTCAATGTTGATAGTTCTTAGTAGGTCAAAGGAGAAAAGTAAGAGGTGCATAATTCTAGAAAACTGAGAGGCAACCCAATCTATGATATGTTTGATTTAACAATTTAAGAGAGATAATTTATTATTTAAGTTAAAAATTATTATAAATGTGGATTATATTCTTGAAGGGTTAAGACTTATAATTTAAAGTTTGCCTTAAAATCCATATCTAAATTTGTCACTACAACATAATAACCCAAACATATCTAAAAAATTGCAATATGAACTTATACTTAGACTTCAAACCCAAGTATTCTTAGTTGATAGATAAAGCTATCAACGAATATATTAAGATGATTTGTGTAGCATATATGAAGGGTGCAAATGAGTCGAGTCGAGCTTGAGTTTGACCTTATTCGATCTCTACTTACGAGCCAAATATCTAGCTTAAACTCCAGTCGAACTCAGATTGCCAGGGGAAAACAAGCTCATTGAGTTGCTCGTCGAGTTCAAGCTCTGGCCCCGTGTCCAAGCTTTTGTTTCCCGATCGTGGCTTCTTTTTCCTGCCCTCATCCCTGTCTTCCTACCTTCCATTTCTCCTGTGGTTTTGTTTTTCCGCATGCACGAGCTCCGATCCCACTTCCCCCCGCGTGTGAGTCATATTCCTACATTTCTTCCTGCATGCGATATTATGGTGCGATCCGTCTTCTCGCGTGTGATCTCTACGTTCCGTTCTGCCTCCGCGCCTAACTATGATCCCGATTTCCGGACATTCAGTTCCGCCTTTGTGTTTGACTGCGATCCCGACGTTCATTTCCATGAGCCGCTCGACGAGTAATCAAGTCAAGCAGAGGGTTGCTAAAACTCGAGCTTGATAAGTCCGTCGAGCTCAAAATCTTGTTCGTGCTCAACTCGTCAAGCCCGAGTCAGCTCGACTTGATTGCACCCCTATTACATATCAAGTTCAGTTGCATATGAGTGGATACTATCAAGTATTCATGATTGAGAAAATAAGGATTACATAAATGGATGTAAATCATGAATAAAAATTTAATGAGATGCCTCTCATAAAAAATACTTGCAAAATTTCAAAATTATTTTTTAATGTAAAAAATCACGCCAGATACAATTTGAGTGTAAATTCTTCAACACTATTTTTAGAAGCATGGGCTCACCTAACTTTTTCCGGAAAAAAGTTCAAAATCCAGCTCATTTTGAGAAGGAAAATTTGAATTTTTATTTTTTATTTTTTAAATGATGGTGAAAACGTCTGGCTTGCACGAGATTTCGGAGCTTCAACAATTTATTTATGTTTTTTTTTTTTTTTTTTTTTTTTTTGAAAAATTTAGTTAGTCACACTTATATCCGCAATTAGCTAACAACCATCCTTAAAGGTCTTGCCTTCCTTTTGCTGATGCGTTGGTATACTTTCCTTTAAAGGTCCATTCTTTCAACATCTTTGTTCATCTTTGTTCTTCAGAAATCTCTCCCTTCTCTACCATGTCGCTGCTTGTGGATCTCCAAAACATTAATCTTTCTGATCATACAGAGAAAATCATAGCAGAGTACATATGGTAAGCTTTTTTCTCCTTCCTATTTGATCTCTTTCTTTGGGTCCCTTTCCATTTGAGAAAGTTTGTTTTTTTTAATGTTTGGTTCTCAATAGATGTTTAATGTTTTTCCTTGCGATTTTATGATGAGAAATCATGAGTTCTTTTGGCATCTTTTTATGAGAAATCATGAGTTCTTTTGGCATCCTCTTTTTTTTTTTTTAATTTCTTGGTTGTTCTGGTGATCTATTGAATGCTGGATTTTCATTTCCAATCTGTTCTTCATATCTTATATTGTATTTTTCAACGTTTTATATTACAGAACTTCAAAAGAGAGTCCCGTCTTTGTTTTTACTGTAGGTTTTCTTTGAACCACAATCTTTATTTGTTTTTCCATGAATAATTTCATGATTGATTTTTGTCCTTGGATTTCTGCATGGATCTCGGCTGGCCTGGAGATCTTGTGCTTGTTTCCTTGATTGATTTCAAAGGATAATTCACTTTCGTTTTTATACCTTTTTGTCTTTTTGACGCCTCTTATATCTTTCCCCTTCCCCAAATCTGTAGGATTGGTGGATCTGGTTTGGACTTGAGGAGCAAAGCAAGGGTAAGACCTTCGTGTTTAGGGATTTTAAAATCATTTTAGTTACAGATTTCAGCCACGCGGTTATATCAAATATTATCATTTTGCAGACTCTTCCAGGACCTGTGAGTGATCCTAGCAAGCTCCCAAAATGGAACTATGATGGCTCGAGTACAGGTCAAGCTCCTGGAGAGGATAGTGAAGTGATTTTGTAGTAAGTTTCATCTTCCCTTTTCTTGCAAATTATTAGGTCCGGTCACCGAACCTAAATTTGCATCCGGATTGTTGCGCTTTTAATGAGCTTTCGATGTATTTTTGCAAAAGGGCAGCTTAGAATTTATATCTAAATTTGGTACTACAACATAATAACCCAACGTATCTAAAAAATTGCAATATGAACTTATACGTAGACTTCAAACCCAAGAATTCTTAGTTGATAGATAAAGCTATCAACGAATATATTAAGATGATTTGTGTAGCATATATTAAGGGTGCAAATGAGTCGAGTCAAGCTCGAGTCTGGCCTTATTCGATCTCGACTTAGGAGCCAAATATCTAGCTCAAACTCAAGTCGAACTTAGATTGCCAGGGGAAAACAAGCTCATTGAGTTTGAGCTCAGGCCCAGCGTCCAAGCTTTTGTTTCCCGACCGCGGCTTCTTTTTCCTGCCCTCATCCCTGTCTTCCCACCTTCAAATTCTCCCGTGGTTTTGTTTTTCCGCATGCCCGAGCTCCGATCCCACTTCCCCCCGCGTGTGAGTCATATTCCTGCCTTTCCTCCTGCATACGATATTATGGTGCGATTCGTCTTCTCGCGTGTGATCTCTACGTTCCGTTCTGCCTCCGCGCCTAACTATGATCCCGATTTCCGGACATTCAGTTCCGCCTTTGTGTTCGACTGCGATCCCGACGTTCATTTCCACGAGCCGTTCGACGAGTAATCGAGTAAAGCAGAGGGTTGCTCAAACTCGAGCTTGATAAGTCCATCAAGCTCAAAATCTTGTTCGTGCTCGACTCGTCAAGCCCGAATCAGCTCGACTTCCTTGCACCCCTATTATATATCAAGTTCAATTGCACATGAGTGGATGCTATCAAGTATTCATGATTGAGAAAATATGGATTACATAAATGGATGTAAATCATGAACAAAAATTTAATGAGATGCCTCTCATCAATAATACTTGCAAATTTTCAAAATTATTTTTTAATGTAAAAATTCACGCCAGATACAATTTGAGTGTAAATTCTTCAACACTATTTTTAGAAGCATGGGCTCACCTAACTTTTTCCGGAAAAAAGTTCAAAATCCAGCTCATTTTGAGAAGGAAAATTTGAATTTTTTTTTTAATTTTTTAAATGATGGTGAAAACGTCTGGCTTGCACGAGATTTCGGAGCTTCTACAATTTATTTATGTTTTTTTTTTTTTTTTTGAAAAATTTAGTTAGTCACACTTATATCCGCAATTAGCTAACAACCATCCTTAAAGGTCTTGCCTTCCTTTTGCTGATGCGTTGGTATACTTTCCTTTAAAGGTCCATTCTTTCAACATCTTTGTTCATCTTTGTTCTTCAGAAATCTCTCCCTTCTCTACCATGTCGCTGCTTGTGGATCTCCAAAACATTAATCTTTCTGATCATACAGAGAAAATCATAGCAGAGTACATATGGTAAGCTTTTTTCTCCTTCCTATTTGATCTCTTTCTTTGGTTCCCTTTCCATTTGAGAAAGTTTGTTTTTTTTAATGTTTGGTTCTCAATAGATGTTTAATGTTTTTCCTTGCGATTTTATGATGAGAAATCATGAGTTCTTTTGGCATCCTCTTTTTTTTTTTTTAATTTCTTGGTTGTTCTGGTGATCTATTGAATGCTGGGTTTTCATTTTCAATCTGTTCTTCATATCTTATATTGTATTTTTCAACGTTTTATATTCCAGAACTTCAAAAGAGAGTCCCGTCTTTGTTTTTACTGTAGGTTTTCTTTGAACCACAATCTTTATTTGTTTTTCCATGAATAATTTCATGATTGATTTTTGTCCTTGGATTTCTGCATGGATCTCGGCTGGCCTGGAGATCTTGTGCTTGTTTCCTTGATTGATTTCAAAGGATAATTCACTTTCGTTTTTATACCTTTTTGTCTTTTTGACGCCTCTTATATCTTTCCCCTTCCCCAAATCTGTAGGATTGGTGGATCTGGTTTGGACTTGAGGAGCAAAGCAAGGGTAAGACCTTCGTGTTTAGGGATTTTAAAATCATTTTAGTTACAGATTTTGGCCATGCGGTTATATCAAATATTATCATTTTGCAGACTCTTCCAGGACCTGTTAGTGATCCTAGCAAGCTCCCAAAATGGAACTATGATGGCTCGAGTACAGGTCAAGCTCCTGGAGAGGATAGTGAAGTGATTTTGTAGTAAGTTTCATCTTCCCTTTTCTTGCAAATTATTAGGTCCGGTCACCGAACCTAAATTTGCATCCGGATTGTTGCGCTTTTAATGAGCTTTCGATGTATTTTTGCAAAAGGGCAGCTAATACGCAATTTTAATTACATATTAGTTGCTTTTTTGTTGAGTATTTGCAAAAATAAAGCAAAAGCGCAACAAATATGCTGCGCTTTTGTTGCGCTTTTCAAACACTCAGTAAAAGGGCAGCTAATATGCAATTAAAATTATGTATTAGCTGCTCTTTTGTAAAAAATAAATCAAAAGCACAATAAAAGCACATTAAAAGCGCAGACAATCCGGATGCAGATTTATGTCCAGTGAACGGACCTAATAATTTGCCCCCTTTTCTGCCTTAAAGCTTATCCTAATTTTTGATTTCTTTACTATATTTTTTGTATGTTTATAAGTTAAATGTTTACTCTTTTGTTTTTTGTACTTGCAGTCCTCAGGCTATCTTTAGGGATCCTTTTAGGAGGGGGAACAATATTCTTGTGAGTAGTTATTGATTAATTTTGATTTTATCACAGTACAGTATTTTGTTCTATAGCAATAGTAATGCTTTGTTTTCTTACATTCATGTTTTGGATTCTTTACATATAGGTAATGTGTGACTGTTACACACCAGCAGGAGAGCCTATTCCAACAAACAAAAGGCACAGTGCTGCAAAAATTTTTGAACATCCTGATGTAAAGGCTGAAGAACCATGGTAACATTTTTTTCATATAGATCATGTTTCCTAATTGAACTTAGCAAATATTTTCTTTATCACTTTATGCTATAATATTTCATCATTTTTGGGTGTTGATTCTTTTAGGTATGGAATTGAGCAAGAATACACCCTCCTTCAAAAAGATGTCAATTGGCCCCTCGGATGGCCGGTGGGTGGTTTCCCTGGTCCTCAGGTAATAAATTAGGTTTCATTATGGTAATGCACTTGAGATTTTGATTTTAATTATATGTCATATGGTTGAAAATTTTGTTTTTCTTAGAAATATGTCAGGGTTTGCTTGGGGCAGCTTTCTTACTAATTTACTTGTAGATCATTATCAACATTTCATTTGGTTACTACTTTCTTGATACTTTCTTAAAGTTTATTTGGCTTTTTGCAACTTGATCTATCAATGTGTAGTGGCTAAAAGAAAATTGTTGTTCAACTTTTAAAAAAAAGAACATATTTTTATAATAGTTTTTAAATTTCTTTTTTTCTCACAATAGTTTTAGAATAATCTTTATAAAAAGTAAAAAACTATAGCTTTCGGATGAGGATGCTAAGAGTTACTTCTGTATAATTGTAGCATTCTGTGAAGGTGGTTGTGGAGCTGTTTTGAAGAAATTAATTTTTTTGAAAGATGTTGTAGATATTATAGATTTATTCTTTTTGAAAAAAATTAGACAGCTATTTTCCTACAACTACCACACATTAGCATATTTGGTGGTAAAAAGCAGCTTTTTATCACATAAATTTTTGGTAAGTAGCAAGTAAGCAGAAAAAAATTGTATCCAAATGGAATTGTGGTTGCGGTTTGATAGGCAAAGCAATGAGAAAGGTTTCTTGAATGGATCCTGAGTGATTGTATGTCACCAATAGCTTAAGCTTTTTAGTTGAAAATAAATTTGATCAGTGGTTTATTTGATCTAACTTTAGTCAATCTTTGACTCAATCTCCCTTAAACATTTGCTAGAGTATTTATCTGCTTAATTTTTTGAAAAGAAGTTATGGTCATAGAAAATTTTCTTTTTGGATTTGAATCTTTTCTTCCTTATAGGATTTCATAAGCATATGGGTTTCACCAAATGTAGAATATGATGATTTTATTTCATATGCCATAAAAGTACAACATCAAATGCAGTTGCTAAATGAAGCTTTTTAGTGTCAAATATCTTCATATTTTCAATTTTTTATGTCCAAATATATGTTATTGACTAAGCTAATTATATTGTTTAATATCTAAAGCAAACGCTTTCCTTATCTGCGCTGCCAATATTGATAATTTCTTTAAGCTGCTACTACCTGGTAAGTTGCAGCTTCTTATGTCTAATTAAACTCTTTCTTAATCTCTTATACATTTCATAATTAGTCACGACGTTCTACGATTGATTGTTGACTGAGCATTAATCCTCAACCATTCTGCTCCAGATTTGAACCAGCAATGATGATTTTATGTTTGATTAATGTATAATCTATGTAATTTTGTATCAGGGCCCCTACTATTGCTCAGCTGGTGCTGACAAGTCGTTTGGACGTGACATTGTTAATGCTCATTACAAGGCTTGTCTTTATGCTGGAATCAATATAAGTGGCATCAATGGAGAGGTGATGCCTGGTCAGGTAATCCCTTGCTTCCTTTTATTCCTTTTCTGAACAAATAAACCTTATAGGCTTTGTTTGGGATGGCTTTCTTAATGTTTCTTAAAGTAGCTTTCTAATACAAGTTTTTTAATTTTTATATTAGAAAGGTGCTTTAAGCAGCAATAAGAAGACTGTCCCAAACGAAGCCATAATATATTTCTTGTTGATTTCATTTTTGAAAACAATGTATATTTGCAGTGGGAATTTCAAGTTGGTCCATCTGTTGGAATCTCTTCTGGTGATCAACTCTGGGTTGCTCGATATATACTTGAGGTAAATGATAAGTATTCAATAAGCTTGCACCTGGAAATCTTTTTATCCTACTTTATTTTGATGAAAAGTTGTTTTGTTTCATAAGGAAAATCTGCTTAGAAAATCATCTATGTTTACGTTTACATTTTCGATCGGCTATCACTCAGGGATGCAACTCTTTTTTTTTTGTAAGAGGATATGATGATTTTGGTTTCGTTTGAGGCGGCTTTCTTGCTGCTTCTTAAAGCAGATTTTTTTATTAAATTTTGATGTTAAAAAACTGCTTTAAGAAGCAATAATAAAGCTGACCCAGACGACGCCTTTATTTTTTAGAGAACTAAATCAGTGATCATTATAACTATATATTGAACGAAATCCATTTTCTGTCATCAATATATACTTAAATCATTGTTCTGACATGCTGCCTTTTTTATTTCTGTAAACAGAGAATCACTGAGATTGCTGGCGTGGTTCTTTCCTTTGATCCAAAGCCTATCCAGGTTGACTGTTTGAATAAGAATACATAGCTCTTTATCCTTAGAAAATTTTTATATTTTTTTTCTATAATTTGATAATTTGCATTAAATTCAAAAATGTGTTTTAGGGGGATTGGAATGGTGCTGGTGCTCATACCAACTATAGGTAAACTTTCAGACTCATCAAGAATTTTGTCTTTAAGTTTATAGGGATCCAAAATTCTCTCTTCCTTTATGTTTGGAATTATTTGTTTTACTGATTTGGAGGATTGTCATTCTCAGCACAAAATCAATGAGGAGTGAAGGTGGCTTTGAAATTATAAAGAAAGCAATTGAAAAGCTTAAACTTAGGCACAAGGAGCACATTTCTGCCTATGGTGAAGGCAATGAACGCCGCCTCACAGGCCGGCATGAAACCGCTGATATCAATACTTTCTCATGGGTACATTCTTAAACTTATAAATCATTACACAATAGAGAAAAAAGATTCATGTAACTGATCCCACGTAATGGAACAAAGATTTGATGATGTTGTTGTATTAACTTTCAAATATAATTTTACTATCAGGGTGTTGCGAATCGCGGAGCTTCAGTTCGTGTTGGTCGCGAAACTGAAAAGGATGGAAAAGGTAAGTTCTGTATAGTTTTAATACAACACTTTATGGCTTCATTTGGGACAACTTTTTTGCTGCTTTCTAAAGCAATTTTTTTAGTATAAAAATTTTCATCTCAAAAACTATATTCATTACAAACTACATAAAATGAACATCATATTATTTATTCAGGTTATTTTGAGGATAGGAGGCCAGCTTCGAATATGGATCCCTATATAGTGACATCGATGATTGCGGAGACTACCATACTATGGAAGCAAACCTAAGACATCTTCATTATTTCATCATTGTGCTTCTTATTTGTGTCCTTTGCATAGGGATCAAATCATCAGCTTGATTTGTCCCTTATTATTATCGTCTGTTTTATTTAAAGCACATTGGTATTCTCGTGTCATGCTTTAAATTCCCTTTTAAATAAATGTATGGTGACAGTAATGCAGTTTCTTTCTTGCTCAGTTATCCCTTTCCATAATGAATATGATTTCCTGATAAAAAAATATGTTACTTTTGAAAAGAGAAGGATTAAAATGATCTCGTGATTCTTTATGAAAGATCAAAAATAATTTCTAATTATATTGAAGGGTCATTTTGGTCTAAGGAATTAAAATAGTATCACCATGGAAATATTCGAGAAATCAAAATGATCATTTAATATAGTTGATGATCATTTTGATCCTGCATAAAAAAGTCAAGAGATCATTTTGATCTTTTTTTCTCATTTTGGAAACAACGGAATGAATGAGCTATTTAATTTGTATTGCTTTTGTTTATTGTGCATTTGTTTTTGTTATTGATATTTATGATGCATGTATCATGGTTTTATAGCTTTTCTTCTTTTTAAACCTTTACACTTTTGTGCATGGATGGGGAAAAATCTACCTTTGAGCAGGCTCTAGCGGAGTAGATTTTGTAAATGATATTTTGATCAAAATTTAGTTGTTTGTGCTATCGGTTATGTCAATATAATTTTGAAGCCTATAGAACTCATCATGATTATAAAGATAATTTTTTTTTAGTTCTTAAAATAAGCATCAAAGAAAAAGGAGAACTTCATGGTGGCATTAATAATGATGTGAAGCAGATAACTTCAAAAAAATTTTGTGCTAAAAAATTTATAAAGTAATAAGAAAGTTGTTCCAAATGAAGCTTAAATATGTGGTTGAGAATTTAAGGAAATGAGGTGATGACAATGGTGGTTGTTGACGGTCAAAAATTATCATCAATATATACAAGTAAAAAGATATTATGATCTAGATAAAAGGGGAAGAAAAGGATTAGTCAAACTTGTTAAATTCTAGACTTTATAAGTGACTTGAAAATTTTGCAAATTATTGTTTTGGAGCATGTTTGAGAATGTAATTGACTTTCCTTTGGAGGAAATATATGTAGGATGTTGTGAAGCATGTGGAAAGTTTCATTAAGGTTTTATTTGGAATGGTTTTCTTATTGTTTAAAATAACTTTTTAGTATAAAAGTTTTAATTTTTGTATTAAAAGCTGCTTCAGAAAGCAATAAGAAAGACGTCCTAAATGTCCCATGTAAGAAAGCATTACAAACATCTAGTTGTGCTGGATTGACCATTGATTTCTTAAAGCCAATATTAGTAGAATGTATATTGTGGGTATTTTGGCGAGGGAATGAACGTCTCAAGATAATTAACTTCATATTGTTGTTTATAAGCTTGAGCTTCGAGACAAGCTTTGTAGCAAGTTACTAGGCCATGTGAGTGGAGCTTGGTTTTATAAGTCCATTTATAGCCAAATATGTTCTTAGAAGGGAAAGAAGGGATGAGAGCCCATGTGACTTGGCTTTGAAGAGCTTAGAATTCTTGAGATATAGCTCTTCTCCAAATAACATGTTTGATAACTTGAGAAGAACAAGGAGGATTCAGAGGTGAATGAATGCAATGATGGAGTTGTATGAGGTATGGATGTATTTTGGATTTTAGAGATTTAAGTTGGCACAAATGGGAAAGGTGAAGCCAAAAAGTTATTGGTGGATGTAGGCAGGGGAGTAGATTGATGATTATAGGGGCAAACATCTTTGTAAAAAAGGCATGTCTAGAGATAATTATTCAACTAATGGCTCGATTTAGGAAGGCCTGTAAATGAACCAAGCCAAGTTGAGTAGGTGCTTGTTTATATTTGAGCCTTTTAGCTTGTTCAAACTTGTTTCGAGTTCAATTCGAGCTTTTTTTCTTGTGTTTAAGCTTGATTTGTTTAAAAGAATAGATTTTCATGTTTGTTTTGTGTTTGGTTCATGTTCGGATTGTGTTTGGTTCATGAAAAACCAAGAGAGCGTCGCAAAAATACATCATAATTCAGTAAAGAAACTGGCATAAGAAAAACACCACCAACCAAAATTTTAGCCCCGATTGCCACTGGCCATCAAAACGGGGGCCAAAAAAATCCAGGTGCAGGACCATCCAAGGGGCCAAAGAAACCGTCATGATTGTCAGTCCTGCAGTGCTCTCTTTACAACATCGTTCAGGCCAAAAATATATATAGCCAAACCGGCAGAATAGAGAAGAAAACACTGACTCCAGCAGCCAAAGTCCAAACAATTCAGCATATAGCTGTAAGAGCCAGTCAAAAACCTTCCAGTAAACATCAACATCCCAGCCAAAAAGATATAACCTTCCAGCATAACAATGCCAAAACCACTGAGCAACATCACCAATCTCAAAAAATACCAGCATATTTATGTTTGAGCCTATCAATATTTTTCCAAGAATTCACTTTCTTTATGATAATAGATTTTATACAAGGCAAAACCAAAAGAGCATCGCAAAAATACATCATAATTCAGTAAAGAAACTGGCATAAAAAAAACACCAACAACCAAAATTTCAGCCCCGATTGCCACTGGCCAGCAAAACGGGGGCCAAAAAAATCCAAGCGCAGGACCATCCAAGGGGCCAAAGAAACCGTCACGATTGCCAGTCCCGCAGTGCTCTCTTAACAACATCGTCCAGGCCAAAAATATATATAGCCAAACCGGCAGAATAGAGAAGAAAACACTGACTCCAGCAGCCAAAGTCCAAACAATTCAGCATATAACTGTAAGAGCCAGTCAAAAACCTTCCAGTAAACATCAACATCCCAGCCAAAAAAATATAACATTCCAGCATAACAATGCCAAAACCACTGAGCAGCACCACCAATCTCAAAAAATACCAGCATATTTATGTTTGAGCCTATCAATATTTTTCCAAGAATTCACTTTCTTTCTGATAATAGATTTAATACAATCAGCAACCGCCATAGGGGACAGCCAAGCATTAGAGAAACGCCTGTTGTTTCTCTCCCTCCAAATGTGATAAATCGTGCAAGCCATGATAGAGAAACAAAAGATTTTCTCTAAAGAAGAAGAAGAGAAAGCAGAGTCCAGAAAATCAAAGGCCAAAAATAGATTAGGCTTGTACAAAAAACTATGGAAAATAGGCAGAACTAACAACAACACAGAAAAGGTAAAATCACATTTAAAAAATAGGTGCTGGAGAGTCTCCCGATGTGATTTGCAGAAGGAGCAATCTCCAGATACATTAATACCTTTCCTCATAAGAATATCAGCGCATTTAAGCTTACCAATCAGAGCCATCCAAGTGTAACAGGCAAACTTAAGAGAAGCTTTTTTATACCAAACAAAATCTTGCCAGGCAACCTTCTCTAAATTAGAGTAAAATTGAGTAGTAAACAGCTTAAAACTTGTGATACTAGTACCATCCCACATCAAAACCGATTCCTCTAAAATACGAATATTTAAGATCTCAGCTTTAACATTAGAAGGAAAGTAATTCGGTAAACACCAAGCACCATTAAAAATGAAATTTCCAACATGAGCAAGAGAGCCTCATCAGAAAAAGCAGCACCCAAAAGATTACCATTAAGCCAAGGGTCCCAGAAAAAGGAATAACCGCAATTAGGACCAACCGAGAAGGTGAGGCAGTGCTTGATAGCAGTAGCATGAGAGCATATCATTTTCCAGAAACTGGAAGAAGACGCAGGATAAGGTTTCCAGGGTGACACAAACTTTGCTTTAAACTAATTCCCCACAAGGCTGTTAGAATTATAGAGCTTCCAAATGAACGAACAAGCAACACAAAAATAGTAAGCATCAAAGGAAAGAATACCCAGACCACCATGAATTTTGGGTTTAGTAATACTGCTCCAAGCAATTAAATGAAGTTTCTTATCCACAATGTTCCCATGCAGCAAAAATTTAGAACAGAGCTTAGCAATGATAGATCTACATCTTTTAGGTATTATGGCTCCTCTTATCCAATTAGCTATCGTATTAGCAATAGTAAATTTAAGAAATTGAAGCAGCCCTGCAAAAGTCATAAACTTAACTTTCCAACCCGCAAGTAGAGCAGAAATTCTGCTCAATAGGGATTGGAAGTGAGAAAACTTGAGTCTGAAAGGAGAGATCGGAAGGCCAAGGTAGGTAAGGAAAGAATTGGATAGATGAATTCCAAGTAACTCAGCAATAGATGAAGGAGATTTGACATCTTTAACAAAGATAATAGAGCTTTTTGTAGGGTTAACAATGAGGTTAGAAGCATCATCAAATCTATTTAAGGAGTTTACCAAATAAGCGCATTATCTTGATCAGCTTTCCCAAACACTAAAAGATCATCAGCGTACATCAGGTGGTTCACCGTAACACCATTGCAAGTGATACCTTTAAAAAGATTAGGTTGAAGGCAGCAAGAGAGTCCATCCATTGCAATACAAAAAAGGAGGGGGGATAATGGACATCCCTGTCTAAGTCCAGAAGAGGACTTGAAAAAACCTTCAAGAGAACAATTGATGCAAACCGAAAAATAGACATCAGATATACAACTTTGATCATGAAAGGCTCAGGAAAACCTTTAATTTTTAAGCGATGTAATAGAAATTATCTAGAGAGAGTCAAAAGCTTTTCGGATGTCCAACTTAGTACAAAAAAGATTGTTATTAGCATTAAACTCCCTTAACAAGTCAGCTGCCAAAATAATATTATCAGAAGAACAACGCTTGACAATAAAACCCACTTGGCTATCATGGATGATAAGAGGAAGAACCTCTTTAAGTCTGTTAGCAAGTAACTTGGCCACCACTTTATAAAACACATTGCATAATGAAATGGGTCTATAATCTGTAATGTGAGTGTTTTTTGGAATTAAGGCAATGGCAGTGGCTTTAGTAGCTTTAGGAAGGTAAGCATTAGAGAAAAAACACTTAACAGCCCTACAGAAATTAGGACCAAGCACTTGCCAAGTTTTCTTATAAAACTCAAAAGAGTAACCATCAGGCCCAGGGGCAGCGTCGATTTTTTTAAAACTCATCATAATTTTGAAGTCTATAAAACTCATCATGATTATAAAGATAATTTAAAAAAAAAAAAAATTCATAAAATAAGCATCAAACAAAAAGGAGAACTTCATGGTGGCAGTAATAATGATGTGAAGCAGGTAACTTCAAGAAAGCCATCCTAAATGTAGCCTAAATGTCCCGTGTAAGAAAGCACAAACATCTTCATAAAAAATGGCATGTCTAGAGATAATTATTCAACTAATGGCTCGATTTAGGAAGGACTGCAAATGAATCGAGCCAAGTTGAGTAGGTGCTTGTTCATATTTGAGTTTTCTAGCTTGTTCAAACTTGTTTCGAGTTCAATTTAAACTTTTTTACTTGTGTTTAAGCTTGATTTGTTTAAAAGAATAGATTTTCATGTTTTTATTGTGTTTGGTTCATGTTCGGATTGTGTTTGATTCATGTTCGATACGTTTATGCTTATAGATCTTTAAACAAACAAGCTTTATCAAACCTACTAACAAATAATCACCTAGAGTTATTCTTGAACATATGTAGGGAGTGGTTTCGATCTATCAAATGAGCCCGCTCACGAACAAATAATCTCATAAAATGATTTTTCTTATAAATAAGCTTGTTCATGAGCACTTTAAACAAAAATATTACAAATACGAATAAATACCTATTGTTTATGAACTAATTCATTATAATGAAATTATATAACATAAAAAATGTGATTAATTTTTTATATAATAATAATTACTTATTATAATAAAACTAAAAATTATGTGAAAATATACAAAATAATGATTTAATCAACTTTATTAACGAACTTCTTATCGAGCTTGTTCACGATCTTTAATTGATATTATTTGTAAATATAAATGAGCCGAACATATAGTTGTTCTTGTTTGTTTATTTAATAGTAGAGTATTTAAAAAAAATCATTTAAATTTGTTTTATTACTTAAACAAATGATCATGAATGAGCTATAATCGAGTCGAGCCATAAGTAGCTTGTTGAACGCTCAATTCATTTGCAGCCCCAGATTTAGCCATTTGTAACCTTTGTGATTGGAGCTATAATCCATAAATACATAGGAAGCATATTTGGTATTAAATTTATTTGAAGAATATGGATATCATTCGGGATAAACATGATAGCCAAAGGTTTTGTTTTGAATAGAGTGTATTGAGGCAGCCTGTTTTAGAGAATTTGATATGGTAAAATATTATTGGTGAGGTTCAAACTCTTCATTTGAGAGTAGGGCTGCAAGCGAACAAAACGTTCGACGAGCTACTCGCTATTCGGTTCGATTAAAGCTCGTTTGTGATCGTTTAATTAACTAAACAAACAAACTTGAACAATATTTTAAATACTCGGTTCTTAAATAAACAAACTTGAACACTAATGCGTTCGGCTCATTTATGTTCGCGAACAACATCATTTGAAGTTCGTGAACAACCTTGACATTAAGCTCGATAAGAAGCTCGATTCTTGTTCGATTTTTACTCATGAATAGGCTCGATAAAAATAATTAATATTTGACTATAGAATTTAAAAAATATAAATAATCATTGCTTTTGTTACATAGACAATTGCTTTTATTATAAATGTGTTTTTCATAGATATGTTCATGAACATGTTTGTTTGATAGTTAAAAAAATTCGTTAAATATGTTCGCGAGCAAGCTCAGTAAGCACTAAACGAACGAACATGAACTGAACATGAACCGAACATGAACACTCATTAATTTAAATGAACCAAACATGAACACAAACAATAAAGCTCGAACAAACAAGAACCAAACTTGAACAAGCTGATATTAAATGAACACAAACATGAACACTCACATACTCGGCTCGGCTCGGCTCGGTTCGTTTGCAGCCCTGTTTGAGAGTTCAGCATATTTCATTCGGGCCCATGATAAAGCCCAGTTACAGTCAAAAGGCCCAACAGGCCGAACATCCGTTCATATAATTCATATATTAACTATAAATTAATAACGGGCACATTATGAATTTTATTTTTCTTTCTAATTTTAGCAAAGATAGTAAAAATATAATTCGATATCTCTATAATTTATTCCTCAATATTTAATAAATGTTATTTTTATGTAGATGATATGGCATTATAGTGAGCAATTCAAACAAAAGATTTACTGAGTCTCTTCTTTCCAAAAATACGTCAATAATATTAATCCCTATTTTTATAAGGCGATGGAATGGAAAAAATAAGCACAACTTTTAAAGCTCGCAGTCTCTCTCTGTCTTTCTTCTTCTTGCTCAAGCTCGGTGAAGGGATTAATGGCTTTTCTTGATGGAAAGGCAGTGGGCCTGTGCTTGTTTCTGGTGTTGGTGAGCTTGGGATTTGGCTATGGAGCTACTTACAAGGTTGGGGATGAGAAAGGGTGGACTCTGAATGATAAGCCTAAGTACATTGCTTGGGCAAAATCAAAGGCTTTTTATGTGGGAGATGAGCTTTGTGAGTGTTCTCATTGCTAATTTATTTCATTTTAAGCATGAAGAGCTTATTATAAAGGATAAGTTGATCTTTGAAGTTTGAATTATTTTGTTTATTAATATAAGAATTTGTTATGTTATTTTTTTTATTAAAATTAAATTTTAATTTCTTGGAAGGGTTAGCATACAATTTTTTATAGGGATGTTGATGGAGGCAAGATTTAGACTTCGTTTGGGAAAATTTTAGACCACTGCTTTTTTACTGCTTCAAGAAATTTTTGTAATAGAAAACAACTTTATAAAGTAGTAAAAAAACCGTCCCAAAAAAAAGCTTAAGGCTTAAAAAAAGCCTAAGGCTTTATTTGGGACGGCTTCTTTATTGCTTCTTAAAACAGCTTTCGAGTATAAAAGTTTTAACTTTTGTACTAAAAAATAAGTTTAAGAAGCAGTAAGAAAGCCATGCCAAACGAAGACTTACGCTTCATTTGAGACAACTTTTTTATTGCTTTTTAAAACGAAGTTTTTGTAAAAAAAAATTATTTGTTGTACTAAAAAGCTGCTTTAAGAAGCAGTAAGAAAGTCATCCCAAACAAAGTCTTAATCTTAAGAAAATTGAGAAAAAATTTTACCAAATAAATATTAAATAAAACAAATAAATAAGAAGCATACACAATAATTTTGAAAATTAAGTAATAAAATTTGAAAATATTTATATGAAATATGGAGAATTATGATCTGTTTGGGATAGTTGTAGCTTTCTATAAAGTTGATTTTGAAGTTGTTATTAGGAAATCAACTTAACTATTTTGATTGTAAAAATCATTTAATCAAAATATAAATTTCTAAAGAAAAATTTATAAGAAAATAGTAGTTAAATAAAATTGTGATTATTATCTAAACAAAGCACCGAAAAGACTACCCCAAATAGACCATTAATTCTAATCAATGCATAAAAGCTACAGAGATAATTAGTTTTTGTGTTCTTATTTTGATAATGATGCCATGCAGTGTTTCAATACGACAAGCAATTACACAATGTGCTGCAAGTGAACAAACAAGCTTATCACAAATGCAATACAGAAGCACCAATTGCTGTGTTCAACACAGGCTATGATTCTATAACCATAAGGTCCAAGGAACACCTATATTTCATCTGTGGAGCCCCAGGCCATTGTGAAGCTGGCCAGAAAGTTAGCATCAAAATCTCAAAATCTAAAGCTCCGGTCGAGCCGTCACCGACAATCGAGCCACCACCATCAATTGACCCATCGCCGTGGGTCGAGCCCTCGCCGATTGATTCGCCGCCACTGTTCAGGCCACCGGCATTTGGCACGCCACCTCCAAAAAGCCAAGCCAGCATTGCTCATTGTGGCTTATGTGGTTTTCTGCTTTCTATTGCAATTCTGGTCTTTAATTTGACTAGCATGTAGGAATGCAATCATATATGGGTGGGCATTAGTATCTAATTAATACAAAATATAGTGAGGATTTTTTTTGTTTGAGACATCTTTTTTATTGATTTTTAAAGCAGTTTTCTAGTACAAATTTTTGTACTCAAAAATTACTTTAAGAAACAATGAGAAAGCTGTCCCAAACGAAATATAAGTTTGATTCTGAATTCCAAGACTGAAGTTTTCCTAGAATTATATGTTGATGTCTAGTTGTCTCTTTTGTTTAAACATTGTTAACTGTAATTTTATCTTTGTTTTTCTTGTTCTAAATAAATTATCTTTTACATTCAGATTGAGGATTTCCTCCAAATTTGTTTGCTTGTAATAGAAATACAAATCTTGGCAAGAACAATCAAGTGAGCCCAAGAACCCTAAATTCTAGTCTAAAAACTCTATATTTTGAGCTCCTAAGAATCATTGAGATGTCTAAAACATGCCAAATGATCGAAGGAGATATATTTGGACTATCCTATGTTGTTAAGGGTTATAATAGAAATAATCATAATGCTCGTCTCGGCCTATGTTGTTAAGGGTTATAATAGAAATAATCATAATGCTCCCCTCGGAAATTTGTTAAAAGTTGTCATTTTGGATGTTAGAAAATTTTATTTTTTTTCAAAGGGAGCATAATAATAATTTAGGTGTTGTAGAGATGAGGATGCTCAGGTGGATGAGTGGCTTTACTCTTAGAGATGAGATACAAAATGAGCATGTACGTAAAAAGGTTGGAGTAGCTGATGCAGAACATCTAGTAAAATATTTCTTAGGCATAGGTGATTTAGTTTGTTACAAGTTTGTTATAAGTTTCTAAAACTTTCTTGATTTCTCTAGGTTTTTTTCTAGGCTATTCCTTGGCGGCTTATAAATATATCAGTTGTAAGAAGGAAGAATGATGAATATATATTTTGGGAATTTAGTCGTATTTTCACTATTTGTGTGTTCTAGCTCTGAGGAGCTTTGTTTGTGATGCTTCTTTGATGATCTCCCTACATCAGTAGCTCCAGCGGCATATAAGATTACAGAGAGTCACCTTAGATGATTTGGTCACATAAAACAACTGCCTTTTGATGACCCGATCAGGAGAGCAGATGTATTAGATTTATCCTATGCTAAGCAAGGTAGAGGTGGACCTAAAAAGAGTTGGTTAGAAAATATTAGAAATGACATTTCTTTATTAGATCTAAATGAGAATTTGACTCTTAACTGGACACAATGGAGAAAAAACGATTCATGTAGCCGACCTCACGTAGTGGGATAAAAGCTTGTTGTTGTTGTTGTTGTAGAGGGACAATTATGCGGTAATTTAGTACGTTGTTCATAGAGGCTCCTTTTTTATGGATTTAATCCTCCATCCTCTTCTATAAGTATATACTTATTTAAACCAAATCATACAAATTTTGAAGTTATCTTTTGTGATATTTGATCTCTTTTTATAAATATTTTATTGTTGATCATCTTTACTCTTAAATTCACACTTTCCTAAAATAAAATTAGGTATAATCTTTGCTTAACAAGAAGATCAGATCATAAACAAAGGCATGATAAGTCTTTTGTATCGCCATTATCATTAGCCTGAACTAAATTATTTGAGGTCTGCATAAAAAAAATATTTCTTCCGACTTAAAAGTCAAAAAATTGCCACATTTACTTTGTTGGTTTTTTGTCCTATAATGAAAAAAAGTCTGAAGTTCCTATCTGTATTGCTGTGAGTTTGCTAGCCCATACAGACTTTTGGAAATAACATCAGACTCAAAGGTGGAATAACTTGAATCAAACAAGTCCATTGAGATTTGCGACTGCCTATTTTTTAGGACATTTAGGTTAATTATGGCAAAACTTATTACCTACTTAAGACTCAAATTTAAGATTTTTTGGCTGATAGCTAAAGCTTCTAACCAACAGATCAAAATGAGCTACGAAATTGTGCATGTCTTCTTTCTATTTCTTGCTAGGGAAGATCTATTCATTTGTCGGATAATTTTCTTACGCCTTTTCAAAACAACTTTTTAGCATAGACGTTTCTCGAATTTGAAATTTTTATGGTAAAACGTTGCTTTAGAGAGCAACAAAAAAATTGTCCAAAATGAAGATTTAAACAGTCCCAAATAAAATCTTAGCCATAACTTAGGGAGCATAATAATAAGTTAAGTGTTGCAGAGATGAGGATGCCCGGGTGGATGAGCGGCTTTACTCTTAGAGATAGGATATGTAATGAGCATGTACGTGAAAAGGTTTGAGTAGCTGATGCAGAGCATCTAGTTAAAATATTCCTTAGGCATAGGTGATTTAGTTTGTTACAAGTTTGTTATAAGTTTCTAAAACTTTCTTGATTTCTCTAGGTCTCTCTAGGTTATTCCTTGGTGGCTTATAAATATATCAGTTGTAAGAAGGAAGAATGATGAATATATATTTTGGGAATTTAGTCGTATTTTCACTATTTGTGTGTTCTAGCTCTGAGGAGCTTTGTTTGTGATGCTTCTTTGATGATCTCCCTACATCAGTAGCTCCAGCGGCATATAAGATTACAGAGAGTCACCTTAGATGATTTGGTCACATAAAACAACTGCCTTTTGATGACCCGATCAGGAGAGCAGATGTATTAGATTTATCCTATGCTAAGCAAGGTAGAGGTGGACCTAAAAAGAGTTGGTTAGAAAATATTAGAAATGACATTTCTTTATTAGATCTAAATGAAAATTTGACTCTTAACCGGACAGAATGGAAAAAAAATGATTCATGTAGCCGACCTCATGTAGCGGGGATAAAGGCTTGATGTTGTTGTTGTAGAGGGAGCATACTCAAATTTTGAGGACAATTATGTGGTAATTTAGTACGTTGTTCATTGTGGGTCCTTTTTTATGGATTTAATCCTCCATCCTCTTCTATAAGTATATACTTATTTAAACCAAATCATACAAATTTTGAAGTTATCTTTTGTGATATTTGATCTCTTTTTATAAATATTTTATTGTTGATCATCTTTACTCTTAAATTCACACTTTCCTAAAATAAAATTAGGTATAATCTTTGCTTAACAAGAAGATCAGATCATAAACAAAGTCATGATAAGTCTTTTGTATCACCATTATCATTAGCCTGAACTAAATTATTTGGGGTCTGTATAAAAAAAAATATTTCTTACGACTTAAAAGTCAAAAAATTGCTACATTTACTTTGTTGGTTTTTTGTCCTATAATGAAAAAAAGTCTGAAGTTCCTATCTGTATTGCTGTGAGTTTGCTAGCCCATACAGACTTTTGGAAATAACATCAGACTCAAAGGTGGAATAACTTGAATCAAACAAGTCCATTGAGATTTGCGACTGCCTATTTTTTAGGACATTTAGGTTAATTATGGCAAAACTTATTACCTACTTAAGACTCAAATTTAAGATTTTTTGGCTGATAGCTAAAGCTTCTAACCAACAGATCAAAATGAGCTACGAAATTGTGCATGTCTTCTTTCTATTTCTTGCTAGGGAAGATCTATTCATTTGTCGGATAATTTTCTTACGCCTTTTCAAAACAACTTTTTAGCATAGACGTTTCTCGAATTTGAAATTTTTATGGTAAAACGTTGCTTTAGAGAGCAACAAAAAAATTGTCCAAAATGAAGATTTAAACAGTCCCAAATAAAATCTTAGCCATAACTTGAAAGAAATTTCAAAACTTACTTTTTAAAGACAATTTTACAGTAAGCATCAAAAAAATATTATTTTTTACAACTATTTTTCTTATGAAAAAATAAGTCAAAAAATTATTTCAAATAAAGCCTAAGGCACACGCTTAGACTTAGCGGCTATATAATGTTTTTCACTAATGTTTTACAATTTGTTAATCTATTTTTAGCAGGATTTATGCTAGATTAAGGTTAAAGCACACTAAATACTATTTAAAATCTTATTGTTTTGATAAATTCATTTATCAATTAAAGCTAATATTTGTTTAATATCACAGGTCATTAGAAGAATGATTCATTATTATGTGTGGACACCGAACGTCATTCGGAGATCAACCAGAATAAGTCAGGTCACCCCTTTACTTGGTACCGCGACTGGATACTCGGTACCATGGCCAGTACGCTGACGTGACTCTTTCTGGTTGATCTCCGAAAGGTGTTCTTCATCCGATCTCTACACAGAATAATTTCTCATACTGTATTTACTAGTTAAATAGCAATTACCCCTATCTCTTTTTTTTTTTAGCTCACTGCATTTAGATGGATTCCCATACCAGTCATTTTTCTATTTTATATGTTATTCTGAATTGTATGAAAGAGAAAGAATCAAATATTTTATAAACAAGGAAACACAATGACTAGAATCGCATACATATCTATTACATAATTTGAAATGAAAGACGGTATATCGAAGTAGTTCTGACAATTCAGTAATATTATGAATTCCATTTGGAGCTTTTAGCTACTTCGACACGATAGATTTTAGTGCTAAAGATCAAAACATAAAAAATAAGTGTAGTAAAGTAAATAGTAATATGGTTCCTAAGTAGTTAAATCACACAGCCAAGAAATGCTCTTCTGCATCTGTTATGTTCAGAATTGTAATTCTACAATTTAAGCAGGTAGGAATGTCATTTTTCCTCCTGACGATTTCTTTACTTGTCCTGTATATGGTTCCTCTCCATGAAGTTTCTGCCTATGTAGCAGAAAAATAGTATGGCATCTTTTGGTTACCTGCTCCAGAACACGATAATTTTTCCACTTTAAGGAAGAAAAGTTATCAATGAAACATATTCAAATGTTTATCAGATTAAAAAGAGAACAAAAAAACAATTTTCCATCACTGTAAAGTTATAAAATGAAAAACATTAGCCCATTTCCAACCTACTAAATAAAGTCTTAAATGCACAAAGGATAAGCATGATATGCCTACAATAAAACTACCAGATGAAAGTCTGCCATTTTTGTATCAGTTCTTTTACTGTGCAGACACAAATGTCTCTAATGATTGTTCAGAGACTGAAGCCAAACCCTGCATCAACCTGACAATCTCAGCTGTATCATCCAAATAGTACTTTGCCTTGCTGGGCTTCCGACCGACTGTGCATGCAAAAACTTCAGCCGACGGCGGCAATGAGTGGCCATCGACAGCACCGGTTATCACTTCGAACATGTCTTCGTCGGATCTGTCATCTCCAATGCAAAGAACAAAGTCTGGTAACAATCCTCTCTCCCTCATGGTGGAAAGCAATTGCTCAGCTACAAGACCTTTGCTCACTCCCTGCACATAACAGATTCATACAGCAATTCTTCATTGGTAAAGCTCATACATCATATAGATAGAGTTCTTATTAATCATGAAGTTGTATGGTAGTTGCAAACCTGAGGCTTGACCTCAACATTATTCTGACCAGTCTTCACTGAAACTGGCTCATTTGCGAGCACACTTTCTAGATGATCCAGAAGCTCCTTAGCTTGGCAAGATCCAAAATCAGGGTCTGCATCCTCATAACACCAAACCATGGAGGTCTCTTTGTCTTCAATGGTGGAACCATCAGTGGTCTCAGTGTATAGACTCATTACAGGTTCCGCAATTGGCTTCCAGCTGCAGTCAGCCACAGGAATGCAAGTCTTCCATTCTGCATCTCTATTAAGCCTGAGAGAGCAAAAAGCTTACTGTTATGCACTTGTTGCAGTTAAAGGAATAGAAGAAAAAGAAACTGATACCTTAAGAAATAGCCATGTTCAGCTGCCATTCCCAGATTCTCACAAGGGGAGAACCAGTCACTGAGTGTGCTACGGCTACGAGCACTGACAAGAAAGACTACATTGTTCTTGTCACAGCACAGGCTGTTAAGCATCTCGATTGATTGCTGGCTTGGGCTCTTATCAATGGAAGCTTGAGGCATGAGAGTACCATCATAATCCAAAAGAATCGCTCGTGTGCTAGTTCTTCTATATGCAGACACAATATGCTCCATAGATAGCTTCCTGAAATTTGGATCTAAGGCAACAACTCTAAACCCCAGACCAAAACCAATTCCCCAACATCTCCTCCTGATATGATCCCTGCAAGTTCTCTCCAAATCTTGAAGAAAACTGTTAGCCCAATAGCCCACATCATGAGTACTCACATATCTATAGTGTTTTTCATGCCTCAACTGTTTTTCTGCCTCTGGCATCTCCAATGCAGAATCCATGGCATCTGCTACAGCATCAATGTTCCAAGGATTCACCCGAATGGCCCCGCTCAAAGATGGGGAGCATCCGATGAACTCCGATACCACTAACATGCTCTTTCTAGGCATGGAAGGGCTAAGACCCAGTGCTTGATCCAATCTCTCGTTCCCTTGTCGCGAGACAATGTACTCATAAGGTATGAGATTCATTCCATCCCTCACTGCAGTCACCAAACAACACTCGGCCACCACATAATACGCCACCCGCTCGTAAAACTGCAGCGGCTTATCTATCATGATCACAGGTTCATAACCTGGTCGGCCAAACGTTTCATTAATCCGTTTCACCATTGCATGGCTTTCAGCCTGCACCTCCACCACATCCTTCCCCTTACCTCTTGCAGGATTTGCAATCTGAACCAGAACTACTTTGCCTTGACACCCAGGGTGTTGCAAGAGAAGTTGCTCAAAAGCTAAAAGCTTCAAGCTGATTCCTTTGAATATATCCATGTCATCAACCCCAAGCAGCATTGTCCTACCCTGGCTGGAGAATTGCTTCATAAGTTCTAAAACCTTCATCTCAGTCCCCGGCAAGCTCAGAACAGATTTCAACTGTCCCATATGAATCCCAACTGAGAGAATTTTAATACTTACAGTTCTACCATAGTACTCCAAACCAATATACCCCCTCTTTGATTCATAAGTAAGCCCAAGCATCCGGCTGCAACAAGATAAGAAATGGCGGGCATAATCGAAAGTATGGAATCCAATTAGATCTGAGTTGAGCAGAGCTCGAAGAATCTCTTCACGAACAGGCAAAGTCTTGTAAATCTCCGACGAAGGAAACGGGCTATGTAGGAAAAATCCGAGCTTTACTCTATTAAACCTCTTCCTGAGGAAGGTGGGGAGAATCATGAGATGATAGTCATGAACCCAAACGAAGTCATCATCTGGGCTGATAACTTCTAAAATCTTATCAGCAAACACCTTGTTTGCAGATACATAAGCCTGCCATAGAGATCGGTTGAATCGACCGCCAAGCTCTGCAGATAGCGGAAGCATATAATGGAAAAGAGGCCATAGATGCTGTTTGCAGAAACCATGGTAGAATCTAGATAAGAGGTCTGGCGGGAGGAAGGTTGGGACGCAGTTGAACTTCTCTAATAGGACTTGTGACACTTCGTCTTGCTCGGAGGGAGGAATTTCATGGCCAAGGCAACCTACATAGATGAACTCCATGCCTCCTGCCCGGTCGCCAATGGTGTCCTTGAGCTGAAGCAGAAGGGAATCTTCATCCCACGAGAAGGACCATCCCCGGCCGCCGCCATGCCGGCGGTGAACGCGAATTGGGAGCTGGTTGGCCACTATGATCGTCCGGCCATTAGGAGCGGAGGAGGATGATCCATCGTCCGTGTCGTCTGTATCAGAGGAGGAAGAGGAAGAGTCTATGTCAGGGACAATGCCGGAAGCCGTGACGACGCGGGGAATCAGCCGTCTAAGCCGCCCTAATGAAGATGGCTCCCCGGAGGCGAGTTCGAGGAGATTGGAGTAGGATCTTGACACCATTTTAAATACAGAAATCAAACCCAAACGATTTCCCCCTTTCAGCAGTTGGATAGAAGTCGAAGGCTTAACAAAGCGCTCTCTTTATAGAAGAGATAGAGGATTTTCGTAATTCTTTGTCGAGTAAATAGCTAGGGTTTTGAGAGCACTTCGAAAAGGAATGGAGACAGATAAGTTCGGGAACCGTCCGCAAGGAATCGAATCAAACTGAGAATAGAAAAATCAGAAACAAAGCACCGAAAAGACCGATTTTTTTCACGAGAAAAAGCTCAAAAACAAGATGAAACTAAGCTGCTTGGATCGGTAGCAATGGGAAAGTCGTGATGAATTCGAAACAGAGCTGAGATGAGATCGATTACATGGATTCATTCTGCTATATACAGCAAGAAAGAAGCTTTGGCTTTCCAGATCAAGTAAACGAGAAGATATTGACAGCGACCCAAATCCTACACGCCTACCTTCTGATCTCAGGGCCTCCGGCGACAGCTTCTTTTTCGAGCGAGTAAAAGAGAAAATTCGAAGAAAAAAAAGGCATATTGCAATGGATTTATACAAGCGAGGAGCTCAAAGCTGGCTAGACAGATCTTTTAGGCTGGCTGATAATTACACTCCGTTTTACGCTACGAATGCCCATTCTTGGGAACTCGTGTGTGAGTGAGAGTCGAAACGCGGGAGTGCATATAGTAATATGTACACGGCGCTCTCTTTTTCTAATTTTAATAATTGCCGTATTTTTGGATTTCCAGCTCGAATGGTTTCGGCGATAAAGATATTACATTTTTACCCTTCTAATGGTCGTGGACTTTAAAAAAATGTGAGATATCCGCTGGGGGAGTGGATGAGTCTCAAACGGGCCCACAGCCAACGTCTTGTTCCAACGTAACAGCACGTGATTGTCACGTGTTTACGGTCCTACGCGTTACGAGCAGGAAAGATACACACGTGTCCTTTGGTTTCCTCGACGGGTCACTCGGTTTATCCGTTTGCGGTATGGGCGTGACTTCCTCAAACGGATTTGTGTTCACACTGCTCATTTTAAATTATTAATATAAAATATACTTCTAAATATTTACAAAAGTTATTGAAATATTAAATAATTAATAAATATTTAAATTTTAATTTCTATGTCTCAAATGATTTTTTTTATTAGTTTCCATTAAATTATTATGTTTATAAATTTATTAATAAGAGTTTGAATTTGATTAATCTTGTAGGTGTCCTGACGTAGCTCTACGTTCGGACGCCAGTAAAACGGTGCCACGTGTTCATACTTTTTACCGCACAGCCTGACGGCCCGACCCGGACCAGACCCGGGATTGCTATGTATTTGGCTTATTTGTGTATACCGGGGTATTGCTAGGTATTGCTTGATATTGCTCGGCAATAACGAGAAATATCATTCTGTCAAGACCAATATCGAGCAATACTGAGCAATACCCCTGTTTTGCTAGGTATTACTCGGTATTGCTAGGTATTGCTGGGTATTGGTCTTGACATAACAGTATTTATCGTTATTGTCAAGCAATACCCAAACATGGCAATGCCGGGTTCGGGTCCGGGGTCGTTGGGCCGCGTGGTAAAGAGAAGAGCACGTGGCGACATGTTATTGACCTCCAGATGTAGAGTTACGTCCGGTGTCCGGACCTAATAATTGTTCGTAGAATTGAGTGCAAGCTCTATCTTAAGCTCAATAATTACTAAAGCTCAAATTCAAATGCAAGTTATGTTTCATTTGGGATAACTTTTTTTTATTATTATTAAATCAGATTCTAGTAAAAAAATTATTTTTTCTACAAAAATTTTATTAAATCAGATTCTAGTAAAAAATTATTTTTTGTACAAAAAATATTTTAAGAAATAAAAAGAAAGCTTAAGAGTGAGAGAGGTGAAGATTGAAGAGCTTAGAGAGATGAGCATGAAGAGTGAGAGAGGGAGACGAAGAGATATGGGAGTATAAAGTATGAGGCAAGCACTTTCTGTAGTTGGATTGGGGGATGTCAGTAGCGACTTGATAACTCGAATGAACTTAAGTAGCCTTGGAAGGCTGGTTTTGTCAAGATACGAATACCAATGGCTTAGATGAATTCGTATGAATCCCTTGATACATGTGCTTAGGATGACTCTTCAATTTGATTGGTAGGGATGAGTCGCACGCTTTAGATGTCAATGTAATAGGTTTTGGCTAAGTCCTCTTTATGGGACATATAATAGATAGCTCTGAAATATCAACATGAACATGTACATGTACACAAAATCAACATTTCTCATCTAATTTGAGCATATTTAGCATTGGAGAGACATAAAATTTATTTATTAATCATGTGACATTATAGATGTATTATTGTATTATATATAAACTATATATGAGCACATCATGAATTTTTAATAAGTTGCAAGTGATTAGTTCAATTGCATTAGTAGTGTACTACATTCTTTTTCTTTAATATTTGAAATAAAGCAAAAGAAGCAAGAAGTAAAATCCCGAGTGATGTAATTGCACTTGAAAATCACCCAAAAACAAGTTACTTACATGTCTCATGTTGCACCCATTTGTGATTCTCACTCATCACATCACCACTCGACTCCATCTATGATCCCCCATGAACCACTATCATCGTCATTATTTTCTAACCGCCCACCACCACTTGATGTTACTGTTCATCATCACTCTTAATGTTATCACATAGTCGTCACTTGCCACTACCCACATCTATCATTCATAGTCGCTACCACCTACCATCCTCGCTCATCATCATCGTTACCATGCCCATCACTGCCATCACCCACAACCACCAATTTCTGTTTAAATATATATATATATATA